TTCAAAACTGAGTACTCTGTGTTGAACAACCAATAAGGAGGCTTACTTCTGGAAGAGGCTAACTTTTCTCCTCCCGGCAGTCAGTTTGCCTGTAATTCTTTGTCTAGGAGTAGGAACCTGAAAAATACCCCCACTTCCTTCTGTATTGATATATCTATTGACATTAACCATCATCCTGGTCTTGTTTGTACAGTCATTTCTAGGAAAAACTGTTTCACAACAGATTTCCTGATATTCTGACTCTTATAAACTTTCCATCCCTTCTTCCATGATGTTCCCTGAGCCCCAAAGCAGGAGTTGTTATGTAAATAAATCCACTAGGGCTGGGTATCCTATGATCTGTTGATGTCTGTAGCATGTTCATTTGTGGTTTTCTATGATGATCTCCGTTTGTTATAAAGAGACGTGAAAGGCAGTAGCTACATGATTCTGTGGGAATACAGATAAGATTTAGATTGTAGTAAGGGTATTCACTGCCACCCTACCCACAATAGCCAGGAAACAAATGACTGGTTTCCAGTAGCAGGCATGATTTACCTCCTAATGAGTGGGCCTTAAGTCTACTAAACAGTTGTTGCCTGCCACTCACATGTGAAAGCCATTTATTTTACCTTTCTGTGTCTCTTGTCATGCAGGCCAGTATCATGGCTCATAGATGTTGCAGCTGGTAGGACTATTTATTTGCTCTCTCTTGACAGCTTGCATAGTATTTTCTAGAACCGTGGAAGATAGATCACAGGAAAGAGTTTTAGGGGCCAGATCCAGCTTGAATAATCTGAGTTCTACAGGCGTGTCTTCAGCAATATGGACCCATACTCAAGATCTGTGAAGCAACCAAGAGCTCCACAAGTTTTTCTATATTGCTGCGGGAGTCACTTGGAATACCTGATCAACCATTTGAGCTCGTGTTTGGTACTGGGAATTTTGTTAATCTATGGTGAGAATTTTAGGGAGCACTCTCAGTCCAAGGGTTTGATCTTTCTCCCTCTCCCTCTCTCCCTCCCTCTCCCTCCTTCTCTCCTCTCTCCTCTCTCTCTCTCTCTCTCTCTCTCTCTCTCTCTCTCTCTCTCTTCGGTTAAATATAAAATAGTATGAGTCCTAAAGGCTTTATCAGACAGCTTTGATGCTGCCGGTCTTTTGTCCATCCTCCCGTTTTGACCTCCCTCCATCTACCCAGTTGGAGATCCCTCCCCATTGTTCCATTTTCTGCTTCACATCACCTGTATCCTGCTAGTACTTTCCCAACCCCTCCCACAGGGTCCCTTCCTACTTGCCTGGTTCCTGCAGTTACTCCACGTTGTATGCTCACATAGGAGTATGTGAGTGCCCTAAATTTGGTGCCAGAAATTGCAGGTGAGAAACAACATGTGGCATTTGTCTTTCTGGGTCTGGGCTACCTCACACCATGTAATCTTTTGTAGGACCATTCACTCACCTGCAAATTTCATTTCACTTTTCCTTGGAGCTGAATAAAATTCTAGTTATCGACGGAACCCAGTTACAACGCCTATGAAACACGACAACGCCTATGAAACACGACAAGGGCGAGATCTGCATAAAGGTGCAGGAAGTGGCACTCACATGTGAGTGGCAGCCAGTAACTGTCTAATGGACTTACGGCCCATTCATCAGGAGAGAAATCATGCCTGGTATTGGAAAACAGCTTTCCCCAGTTAGTAATCTTAGAAAAGAGCCTACTACCATTACTTATGACTACTACCTACTACTACTGCTATTATATACTGCATGCATGTTTTGCTTCCAAGTATGTCTGCGAACTGCATGTGTGCAGTGCCCACAGAGGCCAGCAGAGGTAGCTGGAGACACTGAAATGAGTCACAATGGTTGTGAGTTTCCATGTGACTGTTGTGGCCCAAACCATGATCCTCTGGAAAAAACAGCCAGAGTTCATAACTACTGAGCCACACTTTTTAAAAGACATTTATTGTTACTATTTTTTTACACGATGTTTATGCATGTGTGGATTTACAGATGTGCACAGTGCCCATAGAGGCTAGAAGAGGGCATTGTATTCCCTGGAGCTGGAATTACAGGCAGCAGTGAACAGCAGTGAGCCTGATGTGGATGCTGGGAATTGAACTGCATCATCTGTAAAAGCAATACAAGCTCTTAACTGCTGGCCCTGTTTTTCAGCCCCAACCTCTTTCCTAAGTAACATCTTTCTTGAAAGGTTCATGCTATTGTGTATGTTTATATTTTTATTGTTTTTATTTAATTTTTTGCTTTTTGGTTTTTGGTTTTTCGAGACAGGGTTTCTCTTTGTCCTTTTTGGCTGTCCTAGAACTCTCTCTGTAGACCAGGATGGCCTCGAATTCACAGAGATCCACCTGCCACTGCCTCGCAAGTGCTGGGACTAAAGGCGTGCGCCACCACCACCCAGCAGATTTTGATTTTATTTGAAAGTGAAAAATAATGTATTTTCCCTGTCAGTTAAAGCAGTCTCCTAAGCATATATGTCTCGTTCCTCACAGTATACTTTAGTGCATCATATCAAATACTATCCAGACATTTTTGTTTATACTTCCATCTAACATTCTAATTCTGACATTGGCTTTTACTTTTAGCTTTGCAGTTAAAATGTATCTGGGCCCCATTACCAGTACTTTCTCTCAGCATAGTATGGAGGTTTTCACAAGTAGAGCTCGTGAGAATTAGCTGTGATAGTGTATGCCTATAATGCCAACACTCGGGAAACTGGAACAGGAAGATTGCTGATTCAAGGCCAGCATGATCTACATAGTGAGACCCTGTCTTAGAACAGGCTTCCTTGGCCTGGAGAGATGACTCAGTGAATGGTTAAGAGTACCCACTGCTTTTTCTGAAGACCTCAGCTCGTAGGGGCACAGAGAGACTGAACCAAAAAAGACAGATTTTTTTTTCATTCAGCTAAAGCAATAATTGTCCAATAACCAAGATTAACATGAAAACAGCATGAACCACAAAGAAATAAATTTATTGTCATTTGAGATATTCAATGAAAAGGGACTTGTTATTAGTTTATGATGCTGAAACACACACACACACACCTATTACTTTTTCCTCCCTCTCCTCCCCCATTTTGACCCTTCCTCCCTGTTTGTGCATGTATGTGAGTTCTTATACCCTCATTACATCGATGATGACCACAACAGCCTTGATCAAGGAAATCAACAATTCATCTGAAAGTAATAATAAACCAAGAGTGGGTGACTTATGCATTCAATTTCAAATGCAAGAACACCGAGGGTCAGGAAAATTGATGTGGCTCTGAGGCCAGTCTCGGATACATAGTAAGTTCCAGGAAAACCTGGAATCTATTTTGGTATTCTATATCAACATAAAGAGGGGCCAGTAACACCCATTTCATGTGTTTTAGGGAGCATGAGGTGAGCACATAGATTAACAACTGTTTGTGAATCATAAAGCCCTATACATATATGACTACCATCCTGCTAAAGTTCTAGCCCACAGAAGCATGAATAGCGGCAGTAACTATGGTCTTGGCACCAGATCAAAGCCAATCAGGAATAAAGACTTGTTTGGCTACTTGTTAGAACAGGCGGTCTGAAGTTTATTTGCATAAAAGACTGGTAAGTGCCTATAAAAGTACTCATTTTGAGGTTAGAATGTGACAAAGTAGCAAAGCAATGATGATGACTAATGTTGCTGCAGCCAGATACTATAGAAATCTGAAGTCACGGTGAAGATCTGCCCTGGTGCAGTAGCTATATATTGCTACCTATAATCCCAGCACTCAGGCGATAGAGGCAGTAGAATGAAGAGTTGAAGGTCATCTTTTATCCTACATGATATCTTGCTTCAAAACAAACAAATCCAGATCATGAAACTCTCCAGCTGACACCCAGAAGCTGTGATCACTGCGAGGGACAAAACTGTGGCAATCATCTTAACTCGTCCCTCCAGCAGAAAAACTCCTAGGTCTTTAATTAGAAAAGGCATCTAGAACACAAATCTACAAGACTGGTTTCGGGCTGGAACACAGGGAAGAGCATCTGAGCCATGTTTTAACACTCCTCTAGCAAGGAAATACACAAAGTGGGGAAAAACAGAACTCAAAGAAATATAGACATGATACAATTCCAAAGGTTACAATATACAAAGGTTGATAAGAAAGAGGGCCGAAATCAAATAGTCTACCCATCAACTTGGAAGATGGAATTCACACATAACAATCAATGAAAATACATAAACAGAACCAATTAAAACAAGCTATTAGTTGGGTCTGGCAGCTATTGCTTGTAATCCTAGCATTTAGGAGGCTGATGTAGGATTGTTGCTATTAGCCTGAGTCCAGCCTGAACTACTGATGTGGGAGTGTCATATCAATCTGTTGATTTCATTGGTTAAGTAATAAACACACTGCTTGGCCTCATAGGTTAGAACATAGATGGGAGGAGGAAACAGAATAGAATGCTGGTCGGAAGAGGAAGTGAGGTCAGACTCTGCGCTGCTTCCAGAGGGACCGGACAGCCGCCATGCTCTGCTCTCCCAGGCAGCTGCAACCCACGATGGACTTAGGCTAGAATCTTCCCGGTAAGCTCACCTTGGGGTGCTTACACACACCATTCGAAATGGGTTAGTCCAGGTGCGAGAATTAGCCTGTAAGGGCTAGAGTTCATGGGCCAAGCAGTGTTTAATTTAATACAGTTTGTGTGCTGTTATTTCGGGGCATAAGCTATCCAAGCGGCCGGGGTGTTGGGGACGCAGCCCCGCCGCTCTTATTCAAACAAACTACATGGTATATTCTAAAACAGCCTGAGCAATAATGTAAAACCTTCTCTCAAAACAAAAAACAACAAAGAAAAAACGTTGCTCAGTCGATGCAGTCTTTATCGAGGGTGCACAAAATCTTGGGTTTGATCACTAACACCACATGCAACTGAGCATCATAGCACACATCTATAAACCTAGTAAGGTAGAGGCAAAGGATAAGAAGTTCAAGGTTATCTGTGTTGATATTTTGTTTGCTCTATAACTGATGTGGGAGTGATTTCTTATTAATAAAGAAACTGCCTAGGCCCCTTGATAAGGCCCACCCTTAGGTGGGTGGAGAAAACAGGAGAATTCTGGGAGAAGGAGTCTTGGTGGAGAGTCGCCATGATGCTCCCACTCCAGACAGACGCAGGTTAAGATCCTCTCTGGTAAGCCAGCTCATGGGCTACACAGAATATTAGAAATGGGTTAGAACAATATGTAAGAGCTAGCCAATAAGAAACTGGACCTAGCCGGCCAGACAGTGTTTGAAAGAATACAGTTTCCATGTAATTATTTCTGGGTATAAACTAGCCATGTGGGCGGCCGGGTGCCGGGACGCAGCCCTGCCGCTCCTATTTCAACAGATGGCGCCCAACGTGATGGAGCTAAGTACAGAGAGACATTTCATTACATGGGCTGCCAATCTAAACCAAAATGGATATAAGGGTATTATGATTTCAAAATTTGGGTCTAAGGATATGATGCTTTGGAGAGGGTCTTCTTTTGTTTTTGCAGAGGATGAGACCCAGTGGATTGCATCTATTCCGATTTGGTATGATAGACCACGCCCTCCTGAAAGGTTGCTGTGAATACCTTCAGAAAATTGCTTCACTCAACTGCCAACTGAGATGAAACTAGCACACAGGTTATACCATAAACGACCTAATTAACGACGCCCCTATTCAGCAGGAAGCAGTTTGGAAAGAAAAAACTACGCCCATGTTCCCAAATATTGTTTATAAATGTCCTTTTACATTTAAAGGGGGATATGATATAGATATGAATAATTTGCATTGGTATGGATTTTAAGGTCAATTTTGTTATATGTATATGTATTTCTGATCTTGATTAAGGTATTGTAACTGTGTAGTTCATTTAAAATGTAATGTATAATTAGGAAATATAGGTTGTTAATGGATAATCATCGCTAATAGTTAAGCTTGTAGTCATGTTAATTAGATTTTCTAGATATATAGAGATATATTTAAGTTAGATAGGCATTCTTCATATCTTTCAAAGACTGCAGAATATGGCATTTAAAATATTTTAATAACTTAGGACTTTTCATGACAAGGAGACACGTCTGCTCCTGGCAGCACCAGCTACTTCAAGAGGAAGATGGGCATCGAAGAGGATCCTTATGGAGTTGGATAGTCATTTGGGCAAGAAACTGCTCTTGCCTGGACTGTTGCATAAACTGGACACAGAGAACCCTCAGAGAGAGGACTGCTAAACTTGCCTAACGGTGAGATGGTCTTTCGGGTTTCCTGATTCATAAAAGAGTCTGTGAGACATTCTGCAGGACGCAATGGAGAGTAACTAAACTGTCTTTGGAATTTCCTGCTTCGTGGAGATGTCTGCTGGATACTATGGGCCTGTAGGCCAAAGATGGATGCCCCAACGGTACAGAGGAACTTTGGGTGACTGTCCAGGCAGCGAGATGTCTCTGTCATTTCTAGAGTTTTCTTACTCAAGTATTATTATATCCTTCTGGAGTCTTTGATGGAGTTGAAGAATGAATAGTTATAGTTTTCCTTAGTTATGATAAGAGATAAAATAGATATAAATATTGTAACTGTAATTCTTACTTGATAACTGTTTTGTTATATGTAATTTTGCTATGTTAAAGTTAAAGCCTTTCTTTTTTGTTTAAACAGAAAAAGGGGAATTGATGTGGGAGTGATTTCTTATTAATAAAGAAACTGCCTAGGCCCCTTGATAAGGCCCACCCTTAGGTGGGTGGAGAAAACAGGAGAATTCTGGGAGAAGGAGTCTTGGTGGAGAGTCGCCATGATGCTCCCACTCCAGACAGACGCAGGTTAAGATCCTCTCTGGTAAGCCAGCTCATGGGCTACACAGAATATTAGAAATGGGTTAGAACAATATGTAAGAGCTAGCCAATAAGAAACTGGACCTAGCCGGCCAGACAGTGTTTGAAAGAATACAGTTTCCATGTAATTATTTCTGGGTATAAACTAGCCATGTGGGCGGCCGGGTGCCGGGACGCAGCCCTGCCGCTCCTATTTCAACATATAACAAATAAAGCTTGTCTGAAGACCAGAGCAGAGAACTAGCTACTAGTTAACCATAAAGGCCAGGCAGCTGTGGCACACGCCTTTAATCCCAGCACTCAGGAGACAGAGGCAGTTGGATCTCTATGAGTTCAAGGCCACCCTGGTCTACGTGAGATTGATCCAGTCTCAAACACAGACAGGCAGTGGTGGCTCACACTTTTACTCCCAGGACATGGGAGTCACAAGACTTTAACCTCAGTACTAGAGAGGTGGAGACAGGAAGGAATATGGCTAGGTGGAGAGAGGAATATGAGGCAGGAGGAGACAGGAGCTCAGCAATTCAGTTTGAGGACTTGTAGAGACAGGATACCCCCATTAGGTCTGAAGACTTCATAGAAGTAAGAACTAGTGGCTGGCTGCTTTGCCAAGAAATAACAAAATTGAGGGCTGAAATCAATAAAATAGAAACAAAGAAAACAATACAAAAAAATCAATGAAACAAAGAGATGGTTCTTTGAGAAAAATCAACATGATAGACAAACCTTTATCCCAACTAATCAAAAGGCAGAGAGAGAACATTCAAATGAACAAAACCAAAAATATAATAAAAAGGGGGACATAACAACAGATACTGAGAAAATCCAGAGAATCATTAGGTCATACTACAAAATCGTGTACTCCACAAAATTGGAAAATGTAAAAGAAATGGACAATTTTCTGGATAGATACCATATACCAAAATTAAACCAAAACCAGGTGAACAATTTAAATAGACTTATAGACAGCAAGGAAATAGAAGCTGTCATCAAAACTCTCTCAACCAAAAAAAAAAAAAAAAAAATCCCAGGGCCAGATGGTTTCAGTGCAGAATTCTACCAGAACTTCCAAGAAGAACTAATACCTATACTCCTCAAAGTATTCCACATGGTAGAAACAGAAGGAACACTGCCAAACTCTTTTTATGAGGCTGCAGTTACCCTGATACTGAAAACAAACAACGACTCAACCAAGAAAGAGGATTACAGACCAATCTCACTCATGACCATAGATGCAAAAATATTCAATAAAATACTAACAAACCGAATCCAAGAACACATCAAAAAAAAAATCATCCATCATGATCAAGTCGGCTTCATCCCACAGATGCAGGGCTTGTTCAATATATGAAAATCTATCAATGTAATTCATCATATAAATAAACTGAAAAAACTATATGATGATTTCATTAGATGCTGAAAAGCATTCAACAAAATTCAACCCCCCTTCATGATAAAAATCTTGGGATCAAAGATCAGGGATACAAGGAACATACCTAAACATAATGAAAGCAACATACAGCAAGCTGACAGCCAGACAGGGAAGGAACAAACATAGGTCCAAACCAGTCCCTCGGAATGTGGTTGACAGTTGCATGGCTGAGGCAGACTGAGGGGTCACTGGCATTGGCACCAGGATTTATCCCTACTGCATGTACTGGCTTTTGGGGATCCTATTCTCTTTGTATGGATACCTTGCTTAGCCTAGACAGAGAAAGGAGAGCTTTGGACCTTCCACAAAGCAATGTGCCTTACCCTCTCTGTGGAGAGGCTAGGGATGGGGTAGGGGGTAAATAGAGGGAATAGGAGTGGGAACTTGGATTGGTATGTATAATAAAAAATTATTTTCTATTTAAAAATAAAATTAAAAAAGGAAATTTATTAAAAATTAAAATTTAATTTTTTAATTCGTTAAAATTAAATTTATTTAAAAATGTAAAAGTATGTACATGAGCCATGAGCGTAGGTAGGGGCAAGCCCAGGGAAACTCAGTGGGTCACACACACACAAAAATGTAAAAGCAAGAATGCAACTGCTTGAAAAGAACAAGGGTTCCATGGGGAGTAAGAGGGAAGATGGAAGACGGTAATGAGTGTCAAAATGACTAAAATTTATCAGATGTATAAAGTTGTCAAAGAATAATTAACTAAATATTTATAGTATAACCAAATCATGAATATAACCCAGTATAACAAAATTTGTGGTATAGCATAAATTCTCAAAATAAGTATTATAAACTCAGTTAATTGTCATTAAATATAGATAGAAAAATAAAGACAAAATCATTTCCAGTTTCATTACCTAAATATAATGATTTAGACTAGGTGTCATTTCTCCCAGCCTACTTTCTATAAAGAGGTGATTATTAATTTTTATTACATTTTATTTATTCGTTTGAGTATGTGCATTGGTGTGTGCATGCTTATGCTAATCAGTCTGAGGCTTGTTTTAAAAACACACCAGAACTCCTGCAGAAGCTACATTAGCATATAATTTCACTTAATGTTACAGCCTAAGTATTTTCTATACTAGTGCATAATATTCACAAGTGGCCTTTTACAAACAGTAACAAACTAATTCACTTAATTATATACTGTAGACCACTTTCACATCCTTTTTTAAATTAATTTTTATTGATACATTAATGTTAATTTTTATGATCATCATTACCCTTGATATTAATATATTATACAAAAATGAGTTTATCTATGCTACGTCATTTATACTAACTCTCTTTTATTATGGCTGCTTATTATAGCTGTGATAAAACACCAAAGAAGACAACTTAAGGGAAGGATATATTTAGGCTTAAATGCTTTTGAATTTTTGGCCATGGTCACTTGGCACCATCACCATGAGTCGGTGTCAGGTCAGAAAACCATGACAGAAAGAATATAGTATCACCGAATAGATCACCTTCTGGTGGCTGAGCAGTAGAAGGAAAGTGTACCTGGATCATCTGACTTCCCCCTCCTTCTCCCATTATCCCACACAGGCCCTAACCAGTAAGGTTGTGCTAACCACAATCAGTGTAGGGTTCATTTCTTTGATCACCTTTGTTAATGCTTTCAAACATTCCCAAAACTGCGTTTCTATGAACTAGAATCCCTCATTCTAATCAAGCTGATAACCACAAATATCTATTACCCCTTTGTTTTTTTTTTGTTTTGTTTTGTTTTGTTTTGTTTTGTTTATAAGTGGCATATCTTTCGCCACTTTAAAACTAGAGTAAAAGTTAAATGTTTTCCAACATGATAAGCTCAGTTGTCTTAAATAATGGTTCTGGATTTTACTTGGATATAGCTTGTATTTTGGTTCATCTTTGCATGTATTTTCTTAGACTAGGGGAAGAAGAAGGACCATATCCCATCCGCTTATTCTATTGGCATCTGCTGCTCAAGAGTGTTGGGAATCAAACCCAGGTCCTCTGCAAGAGCAACAAGTACTCTTAACTGCTGGACTATCTCTACGGCCCACAATTCCCACTTTTATGCCATGCTGGAGATCAACTCAGGGTTTTGTACATGCTAGATAAGCACTTTACCAGGTGAGCCACATCCCCAGCCCTAGCCCCTTGGAATCTTAATGTATGTCCATCGACTTTTAGCTACAGAATAGCATATCACCCTAGAGTATCTAATGTTTTGAAAGGATCTCGTTCCTGATGCTGCTGGGAAAAGTTCCTTTCTCAAATCGAGATCAAAGGATTTTGCAGCTTAATTTGTTCACTTATTGATTGTCATTTGATGGGGAAATGGGATTCCAAAAGCAGACATAGAACAAACTTCACACAAAATTGTCCATTGTCCCCATTATGTCAGCTGGCAAGCGACGGACTAAAGGAAATGTAAGAGCGTACTGTCAAAGGGCAGCGAGGAAAAGAAATACTGTGTGGCCATTTTCCTAATCTCCAACATGCTGCGATTGCCACTCAGTTACAGACCCCGTGCCAAGTAACCTACTCTAGTGTAACGCCCACTTTGGTTTTAGGCAGCTGGTAGGCCTGATAACATCAAAGCAATGATAACTTTGGAATGCTGCCTTCAGAACTTCCTACCTAACTAGCCCACAGTCTGTTTTTTTCTGGGGTAATTCAGGAAAGGAACTGTGCCAACTTTATCTGCCTTGTCTCTTGGAGATATAAATTCTTAAATGCAGAAAACAGAATCCCCTGAATAATTTAAGCACAAAATGTGTATCAAAATGTCAGCTGTGTGATATTAAAGCAGAGGCAGTCATGCTTTGGTTAAAGGTTTAAGAAGTAATGGGGGTGAGAGAAAAAGGGAGGGGAAAGAGTGGAGCTAAGGCAATCAAAACTGCTAATGTATGAATAAGATTTATGGAAACCCCTACCTATTGCTGCATAAAATAGCTCTGTTGTTTTCCAAAGGCATTTGAGTGGTGGTACCCTGAATGGGTAGAGAATGCTTTTTATAAAAGACATAGGTTATTAGCCAAAAACCTCAGTGCTAGACATGGGATTGCTTTCAATGAATTGTTGATCAGGAAGGTCACACTGGACCCCTCAACCAACAAAGGATAATGCTTTTGGTTGTTCCCCATAGCTAGATGGTTAGACCTTATTATTGAAGACACCGCATGCTTTTGTTGCAGGGCATAGAGACATTAATCGTAAACTGACTGCGAAATTTCTTCCCTGTTGGCTAGTTTTCATAATGCCTGAAGGTGCTATGCAGTCAAGCCTCTGGTGTAGAAAAGACCCAGAGCTAGAACCTGCTTGCTGAAATGCCTGCAAGTTGGACGCTAATGTATAGAAATCTAGAAGCACAGGAACCTACATAGGTAGTTTTTACATTTCCAACTTAGATTTTAGAGGAGAGAAAGCTAGAAAGCGTTTGTTTACAATGGGTACAAAGTGACCTTATCTGCAGTACAGTTGCATGCCCTTATCTGTGGTTTTACTTTGCATGGTTTCAGCTACCCGTAGGCAACTGAAATCTGAAAATATTAAATGAAAATTCCATTAATAAGCCGTTCACCAACTTCAAGCGACTTTTTAGTATGTGATCATTGTTCTGCTTTATTATTCACTGCTGTTAATCTCTTATGATACTCCACTTATAAAATGACTTATAGATGGCTCAGTGGCTA